AAAAAAAAAAAAAAAAAAAAAAAAAAAAAAAAAAAAAAAAAAAAAAAAAAAAAAGTATTCTTTTGGCATCGCAAAAGACGTTAATGTGCGCATTGGCGTGATTTTTGTGTTCCACGCGTGGATTGATGAAAGTTCGATTGGCCGATCGATAAATCCCGAGTACAATTAGATCTCCACGAGACACAATAAATGCGCATGTTTCACTAGGCACATATCGACGAGTGTAAGTATACACGGTGAGCAGGTACACGTGCAGTAGTTGCTAGGATTACATTAAATATGGGGAACAGTTGCGAAAGAGCGTATATATGCTAATGCGATAGACACAACGCAACACGTACGGGTATAATCTGCGCGATCTGTGGGGGTGCGCTCTCGCGTATCTCTATGTATTGCGTATACATAAATGTTAACAGCGGCAATGAATGGCTGTGAGGTGAAAATGAAAAACACCGAGAAATCGGTATGTTTGTGCAGGTGCGCCGCGTTGAGCGGCTCCTCGATTTTGCCGCCAAAGATGCTGAACGACCTTAAGCGCAGGACCAACGTGTCGATGGAGCGCTACCACGAGCAGGAGCTCGCCATCATGGAGTCGAGGACCCAACTGACCCGGGACTCGCCGGCTTGGTACCTGGCCGCGTCCCACGAGATGACCCCCGAGGCGAAAAATCTCACGGAAATGGCCATCAGGAGGGAAACCATGGCCGTCATGCTCGTCGAGGCCCTACACATGAGCCCCAAGGACGCCCACAACCTCCTGCCGAGCGTCGGCACCACCTTGGTATTGTGATGCACTCTATATGTATACGTTGCGATTGTCATTCATTTCTCCCAGAGGGGTGTAATATCCTGTGTACATTTGTCCCCCATTTACACCTACACTCGGTTTCGAAGGGGTCATTGTTTCAATCTCCCCCCCAACTTGTGTAGGTGAACATATGCTCGGGCGACTACCTGCGGCTAGTGGGCGAGTGCAAGAAATCCGAGTACCGCTACCGTAGCCACAGCGGCAGGTGCAACAACCCCCTGTACCCGGCCCGTGGTTCGGCCCTCGAGGCTTACGTGCGCCTCTTACCTGCCGATTACGCGGACGGGGTGTCCCTGCCCCGGGGGGGTCTGCCGAGCGCTCGGTCCGTCAGCACGACCATGCACTCGGGCGGGCCGGACCTGCAGCACCCGCACCTCATGGCCTTGACCGCCCTGTTCGGGGAATTCGTGGCGCACGACTTGGCCCACACGCCCCGCGCGGGACTGCCCAACGGCGAGCGGCTCAAGTGCTGCGACGTGCCCTTCGACCGCTTCCACCCCGAGTGCTTCCCCATCCAGGCCGAGGCTGGTGGCTGCATGGAGTACGCCAGGTCGGCCCCCCACCCTGGAAACGTCCACCAGGTGAGTGAATATATATTATACATCCATCGTTACACTTTCTCTCTCTCTCATCCGTGTATATGATATAATAGTGTCCCTTTGTTCTTCATCGCACGCGCGTTACCGTATCGCCGAATGGAAGGACAACTCTAATTCTTCTTTTTAACTGCGCGAGCGTAAATTGCACTCGATTACACGGACAATTGCCACGATCTTGTGTCTATCCTTCGCGGAATATTAGAAAATCTGGTTCGCGGGTACGAGGTAATTTGGAAGGCAATTAAAAAAGAGAGAGAAAAAGCAATTTCGTATCGTAATTATACTCGCGCCGCGACAATTGTCATTGACCCAGTGGAGCATCATCGAACGAGGAAGCTCGGGAAGATATTGCAGATTGAGACGGCGACAGGTGACAATTGCGCGTAAATCATACCCGCGTCGTTACGCGATCGGCTCTCGGGGGATTTATGTGTTTCCCCGCCATCCACGCGCGAGAACCTGCAGCTTTCGAACAACTTTATAATAAAGCGCATGGAAAGTTTCCCATGATCAGGGAGATTTGGAAGGAGAAGAAGACTGATGTGCGTTTCATTTTTCCTCTTTTAAACCAAAACAAAAAAATAAATAAATAAACAAAAAATTGCAGGGTTGCAAGCTCGGGGCCCGCCAGCAGATAAACCAGGCGACCTCGTACCTCGACCTCTCGCCGGTGTACGGTAGCTCCGAGGCGACCGCCCGAGTCCTGCGCTCGGGCAAATCGGGCCTGCTCAACACCCAGAGACGCAACCTGCCCATGGCCTCGACCGACCCCCGCAGCTGTCGGCTCGACAGCCGTGCCTTTCCCTGCTTCCTCAGCGGCGACTCTCGCGTCAACGAGCACCCCGGCCTCGCCCTCATGCACCTCTTGTTTCTCAGGTTGGTCCTTCAACCCACTTTTCATCCAACCTCCTCCATACAACGAGACTATATATTTTATGTTTTTTTTGTGTTGTTTTTTTTTTTTCCCCTCCACCGCGCAGGGAGCACAACCGGCTGGCTGAGGGTCTCGCCAGCATCAACCCCCACTGGGACGACGAGAGGCTGTACCAGGAGGCCCGGCGGATCACCATAGCTGAGATGCAGCACGTCACCTACGGGGAGTTCCTACCCGCCGTCCTCGGCGAAGCCGCCATCGACGAGTATGAGTTTCTTACCCGTACATCGCTATACATTATACTTATAGTACACAATCACGTAACGAGTGGCAACTTTCACCCATATAATAAATATATGTACTGTACACTCTGCACATGCAAACGCGATTTCACACTTGACAATAATGGGGTGCATGTATACATGCCCAATAATCCGGTCCAACTGGTTTAATGCGGACTTGGATTTGTTTCATTTTTTTTTTTTTTTTTTCTTTTCCCCCAGCTACGAGCTGCGGCTGTTGAATCGCGGCTACTTCCAAGGCTACGACTCGCGGGTCGACGCGACGCTTACCAACGCGGGGGCCTCGGCGGGGCTGTTCTTCGTGGCCGCCCTGACCCCCAAGACCCTCGATCTCGTGGACACGCGGACCGAGGAAAAATCCGGCGAGCGCTCGCTCCTTTCGGCCTTCTACGCGCCCCAGGAGCTCTACGAGGCCGGTGCCATAGACCGGCTCATCGCCGGCGCCACGGGTAAGCTGTCCTTTCACAACTATTATACGGTATTATTATAACAATTGATACCTCTTGATCTTTCGGGAAGCCGGTCACTCGCGCAAACCCCTGCCCGCGAGCTTGAACGAGGTGCTGGTGGAGAGGTACTTCCACGACGGGAGGACGCGCGACGCGCCCATAGACTACGCCGCCCAGATGATCCAGCAGGGCCGGGACCACGGGCTCCCCGGTTACAAGCTCTGGCGGCCCTTCTGCGACCTACCCGAGCTCAACGGCTTCAAGGACCTCGAGGGCACGATCGCCGCCGACGTCATTCACCGGCTACAGGGCGTTTACAGGTATATATACATATGTATATGTATATAGTTCGTTGTTGACGATCGATCGGTATGTGTTCAATTGGGGTTGTGTGTGTACAGGAGAGTGGAGGAGATAGATCTGGTGACGGGTGCGCTGGCCGAGGCACCGGTGGTGGGTTCGGTTCTTGGGCCGACGTTCATCTGCCTGCTGGGGAGGACCTTCCGGAACGCGCGGGTCGGCGATAGGTACTGGTACGAGAGCGGCAAGGGCCCGGGGCCGTTCACCCCGGAGCAGCTGCAGGAGGTGCGCAAGACCTCCATGGCGAGGATACTGTGCGACAACGGGGACAGGCTTAAGCGCGTCCAGCCCCGGGCTTTTCTCCTCAAGGACAGGTTCCTGTGAGTATACGATTGATACACCCGCGACGTGATGGTGGCTTTTACTTTTACCGGATGATGACTGATGGTTTTTCCTCGTCTTAGGAACGCTTTGGAGAATTGCACGGCGTACAAGCTCGGTGACGTCAACCTGCTGTTTTGGAAGGAGAGGCCGTCGGTGGCCGGTAACGCCGTGACTGTTGTCTGAGAGCCGGCGTGGGAGGCCGACGCGATTTCTAAACCGATCGAGGGAGCTGATCGAGAACGGCGGTATAAGTCCGCGCGCGGGAGGGATACGCGCGATTAGGAAGCTGGTTTTTTTTTTTTTTTCTTTTTCTTTTCTCAACTTGTCAGGACTTTTCGTCGTTGTGTGTAGCGTAGAGAGAAAGTAGCCTAGTTATCGAGCTCAAGTATAGATTATTATCTCGATTGTATAGCACTTTGGGTGAAAACTGACGCTGGACTTTTCAATCGATCGAGGCAAAGATGACTTTTGTGCTATAAGGCATTGAATTAAAAAAAAAAAATTTTTTTTTCCTTCATCGAAAGTAATCCATAAGGGTATTGAAAAAGAGAGAAATGTACCGTGCATATATGTGGTTGTTGAATTACCTTCCTGTAAATAAATCAAATAAATTGTTTTTTTTTTCTTTTTAAATATGCGCTCAATAATGTCCACACACTCCTTTATTTAATTGTTACTTTTATTTTTATGTCTATTTGTATATCCATTGGATTGATTATTTGTAGGCAAGTGGCTTCATCGGCTGTAAGTAGCTCAAAATGTTTTCCTCGATCCATTCTTGTTGTATGTTCGTGCTTCTTGCAGCTAGACCCACATGTTTTTTTTTTTTTTTTTTTTTTTTTTTTTTTTTTTTTTTTTTTTTTTTTTTTT